AGCTGATCCGGGGCCAACGTTAGGTTATGGTTAACGACTTTGAGGGGTAACTACCTGTTAATACCGATCTCTCTGCCCGCAAACACAAACTGCGGTAACATTGTTGAATGGTTGATGGGTCCATCGGAATGAGGATTCTAGAATCTGGGTTCTATTCAAATACCATTGTAACGATCCCAGGCCATTTTGGTTTGGACTTCGGAGTTTACATGCTAACTTCTCTTTTCCAAAGTTATATGATTTTCTATCCACAATAGCCATGCCTAGAAGAGAGAGAGAGAGAGAGAGAGGAGAGGGGGAACCGGAATCTGGTTGAAACTTAGAATTATATAGATTCATGAAGATAATGCCATTCCTAATTTTCCAGATAAAATACCAAGCCACATCATATAGATTCTTCGAGGTTGCCTTTTTTTTTGCTAAAAAGGCTTTTTTTGACTAAGGTTGGTTTTGAGGTGAATTACTGAACTTTGAATTGTCGATTGCATGGACACCGAGATTCATGTGCTTTTCCACTCTCCAAATTTTGACAACTACAAATAAGAGTTTACATTGCGCCTCACATCACATGTATATCTCAGCGTGCATTTTAGGAGATGTTTCCAATAGGGAAAATTCCACTTTAATACTTGAATTTTAGGAGTGTCAACTTAATATCCAAATTTTTAAATGTATTATTATAGTATCTAAATTTTTAAAAAGTGTTAAATTGATCCCTGCCATTAATCAACTATCAATTATCTATTAAAATGTCAAAATTATCCTTCAAAAGAAGACGGTGTTCATTGTCTTCTATCTTGAGACTGAACTAGTTGAGGTGTTTGAGATTCTAGACTAATGAAGTCATTGTCTTCTACCTTTACATCAGAAATACATTATTGTCTACTTATTTCTTTGTTTTCGGTTATTATTTCCCTTTATCATATTTCATGTTTTTTCTCTCTTTTTCTTTGAAGATACCCGATTCAGTCTCAAGGCAGAAGACAATGAATAGTGTTTTCTTTTGAAGGGTAGTTTTGACATTTTCAATAGATAACTGAGGATCGGTTAACGACAGGCACCAACTTCATAGTTTTTGAAAGTTTAGATACTGCAATGACACGTTTGAAAGTTCAGGTACTAACTTGACACTACCCCCAAAGATCAGGGTACTAAAGTAGAATTTTCCCTTTCCAATACATAGTTGGGATGTGTTGTAGGGCACTGATACAAATTCCACAAGTAAAACCATTTTCCGCTATAAACATTGTTTTATTATTATTATACTAGTGGGGCCCGTGCAATGCACGAACTTTGTTAAATAAAATCTAAGATGAAAGACTCTTATGGCATTTTCAATTGGGCAAAACAAAATTGATTCCATTCAAACATTTTCTAGTCATCTTATTTCAATATTTAAGTTTTAACTTAAATATTAATATTTAATAAATTTAATAAAAGTTTTGTGTATTTACCTAAGTTCATTATATTTTAAAATTTTGATAATTTTAGTATTTTTTGAAATTAAATTTAGCTAAATAGATTAGTTGCCTAATTTCCCAAAAATAATTAGTCATAGTTAATTACAAAATTTATGGAAAATAATTTATATAAATTTCCAAAATAATTTTATATTGTTAATTGTTGTAAATTTACAATAAATGTAGTGATAATATATTCATAATTAATAATAGTTCTCAAAAAAATATTTTACTGAATTTTGTTTGTCATGATTTATTGATGATGAATATCTAATAGTGTACTAATACATTGATAATTAATAGTTTATTGACACGAATTAATAACTCGGTTTGTAATTACTGTAAATTAATAATGGTGGATAATTATTTATTTTTTACTAATAATTTGCTGTTAATTTTCAATAATTATTTACTATTAATTTTTATTTAAGAGTATCAATAATATTTTGATAATTATTAATGAATAATTCAGTTATTTAGTGATTTATTCAGTAATTTCCAATAATTTAGTAATTACTGTAAATTAATAATTACTGATAATTATTTATTTTTATTTGACTGATAATTTATTGTTAAATTTCAATAATTACTTACCGTAAATATTGAAAATTCATGGTAAATTTTGTGATAATTTACTATTAATTTAAAAATATAAATATTGACAGTAATTTAGTCTATAACAATAAATTAGTAATTACTTTAAGTTATTTATTGACAATAAATTTAGTGATAAGTTGTTAAATATAACAAAAAGCTGTAAATGGTTTACTTAAATATCAATAGTTAACTATTAATTAATTAGTAACGTATATGTGATCTTTGGCCCGTTTATGGTTAATTATTAAGGGTCAGTCATGAATTTACTAAAACCTATCCTATAATTTGTGTTTTACTAAAACATCCCCTATAGTTTGCAATCAATTTACTTGATCAACCTTCCATTAGATGAAAGTGAAAAATAACAGTTTTAACATGAACAACCACTATTTTTTCCTATTTGGTCAATTTTGTTTTCTATACAAAAAAGTGCTAAGGGTACTTTTAGAAAAAAACCAACTATAGGTTCATCACCTTGAACATTTTCCACTTAGTTTAGGTGAACATGTAACTATTTTCATATGGCAAAACCAAGGTTCAAAGTTGGCCGATACGCTGGTAGGGCATATCGGCCTGTATCAATCCTTTTTTTAACTTTTACTTTTTTTTTTTTTTTTGGCCAGTTTAAGTCCCAACTATCCTCTGATTCACTGAACCAAGCCTTGACCCGATACAACTCCTATAGGGGCATATTGGGAAGGGCCCAAAAACTTGGGCAAAACAAATAGTTCTTAATGAAAGATCAATTAAGTAAATAGGTTGCAAATTATAAGTAGTATTTTAGTAAAATGCAAACCATATGGTAGGTTTAAATAAATCTGTTAAAACTATAAGGGTGTTGTAGTAAATGATCCAATTATTAATTAATTAATTTGGTAATAGTAGAACATGGGTTGGATCCGACCCATATGTATTGTCTTCCTTACCCGTTTAGAGCTACAGTGTTCGCTCAAAGTAGTGAAAACCATGGTGTTCAAAACCTGACTGGACCAGATGGTCAGACCAGAAAACCAGGAACCGGTCAGCAAACTGCTGACCCATACAGTTAATCATTTGAACTATTCAAACCGTTCGAACAATTTTAACCGTTTTTTATTTTTTTATTTTTTTATCAGAACAGGCCAACCATTTGATTCGAACGACCGGACCATTCAACCCGATAACCAAACCACTGACCGGTTCGGTTTTCGGGTCATTTTTAAAAACCATGGTGAAAACGGTAACCAATTTCTCTAATTTTAGTGCACTGCACCAACAGGCTGGCAATGAGCATATAGAGCACCGTACAATTGCCAATAAATCTTCCAAACCGCAACTTATACTCGATCTAAAACTCAACAAATGTAGAATAGAGTGAAAAACATATCTATTTCTAAACTGACCAATGGTGAAAATTCAAACCCAAAAACAATCGTACAATAAAGGGAAAACAAATCTATTAACATACTAACATAGCCATGCAAAACGTAGAACAGAGTGAAAAACTAACCGTACGTTATACTCTTGACACACGTATAACAGAGTGAAAAATAATCTCCTTCCAACTCCAAAAACAAATTCGACAGTACGAAATAGGGGAAAAGGACTGTTGTTTGGGAAAGGGTAGAAGAAGAACGAATGAATGAATACTTTACCTCTACGTAACTGGTTTTTGGCAAGTTCCCCTCCATTTCACGATTGTGAATCTTTGAGATTGGTTGAGAGGCTGCTGACGTGGCAAAATGAGAGGTCTAACTAGGGAAGAGAGATTCAATGAGAGAACTGGAAATGGACAAGGGAGAAAGGAGAGAAAAGAAAAGGGAGAATGATAGAAGAGGAGTGTTGACGTGGAACCTAATCTCTTTATAATATAGTATAGAAGTATAAAGCATGTTTTTGGCAATTCCGAAACTAAAGAAATTGGAACTGCACATTTTTGAGTGAACAAACGGGGTGGGAAGCAAGGTTCAAAATATCCTATTGTATTAGGATCTTATACGGGCCTAGACTTATGGCGGTGATCATGACATTCACCATAAATGACAAAAAAAAAATCTTAAAATTATAAAAAAGAAAACTTTTTATATGTATTAAATGATTTTCATTGTAAGAAAAAACTATAATGTACATTCATGATGATCTATTAAATCCATTAATCTAACAATAATTTGCCAAAGATGATTTTTATAATAAGAGAGAACTATAAAATGGATGTATCATAGTATACAATCATCGACCTAACAACTCGATGCATATTGTAATGGCATGTCATTATATAACTATTCTCTAGTCTTGCCATAAAATGATTGTATGCATGATTGCGCATTAAAATTTTCCACCTTGGAGAATGGGCTATACAACAGGATAATGTTCCCAAACCCCAACTCCCCTCCAAGGGATTCAACCATAGATTTCTGCAATAACCAATCAGAGTGGACTGCATTCTAAATTTCTAGTATAAACTTCAACATTTTATACACAGTAGCTGTGCTTAAACTCGAACTTGCATACTCATGCTTGTCAGCCTGAGATTTTACCAAAAGTGGTCATTCCGCAAGACCCCAAATAGCCAGGAACAACATTGGGTAATGACCCTGGCCTGATATGCTATCCATTTAGTCAGTAACATAATTAGATATAAGGGGGATGGCAGCACCCCACTGTTATTTTATTAGGGTGTTGTAACAACAGTTGAACATTGCATCTGAACATATAGCAAGACAGTACATCTTAGATCTTACAATAGATGGTAAGATGTATTTAACTAAATAACAAACAAAAGATGCCTTAAAATGATAGTTTCTACTAGAAATTTTGATACAGGGAAAGGACTCAGAGAAGGAAAAGCATATCACCCTCCAATTCAGAGACAAACAGTTGTTGGTTTGTAGTCAATAACAACGACTTTTTCCAAGCATGGCAGGAACTCATTAGCAAATTCAACATGGGCTGGATGTGCAACATACTCTGCTACACCTTCCATACTCTCAAAAGTTGACTCAAATACATGGGTAAAGCCTTGATGCATGTTCTCCGCACTCACATCCTTGCCCCTGTTCAATAAACAGCACCCAAAATATTGGAAGCAAGACAACATATGATCCTTTTTCTCAAGGCAAAATTTAATTTTGGTAGAGAGAATTCTCAAAAGAAGGTGGGCCTTGGCACAACAGTTGTGTTGCTCCATTACAACCTGGGTGACCAGGGCTCAAATCTTGGAAACAGCCTATGTGCAGGGGTAAGGCTGCGCACATTTATCCCTCCCCAGACCCCACATTGGCTGGAGCCTCGTGCACTGGGCCCTTTTTTAGAATTCTCAAAACTCTTCATTTCTTTCCTTCTATCTTAGCAGATATAAAAATAGAATTTGGTTTATGATGCTCTACATATTAATATTATATGAATAAAGCCCTATCAAATATATTCACCAGCCTTGGTGAGTCTCAAGAACTACAGATAAGCATAGTGGCAAATAAGAACATATATGAGTGAATTTTGTGCCTCATCCTATGCAATTTAAAGAAAGGCATATGTTCCGACATATGACAATGATATATTTCACAAAACAACCTACACAGCTCCACAGTATGAGATGATATTATCAGAAGATTTACTAATTACTACAAAAGCTACTCTAGATCAAAAGTCCCTACACAGGGGGGTCAATAACTTTTCATAAGAACAAACTTTAAGATTGTGGTTTCCACCAATCAAAGCCAAAATGATATTCCCTTCACTTTATTTATTTATTTATTTTGTGATAGGTAACAGTTTCATTACCTGATAATATTGATTGCCTTGCTATAAGCACTTATTTATTAACTATAATCAAATCCTAAAGATCGTAAATCTTAAAACATCATAACTTCCTAAAACTTCTCTTCTTATTTCACTTTCTTTATCAGATAATAATTAATAAGGGCTTTTTTTATCAATAACTTTGAAACTTTTATTGATTAAAATACTTTAGGATACGACAATAAGTTACAAAAGAACTCAGCATAGTAAGCTGACCCAGTACAGAATTACAAGTGTGCCCAAAACACATCTGTTCTGTGAACCCCTTGCTTTGCTAAGCTATCTGCCAAACTGTTGGCAGATCTCCTTACCGATCCCACCTGAATTGACAAGTTCCTTTACATCCATTTAAATCTTCTGAATTCATTCTTCAACTGCCATGTCACCCCTTCCCCTTTCTGCAACCATTTTATCATAGTTTTTCAATCTCCCCGATGATCAGTCTATTGATCCCCAACTCTTTAGCCTTCTCAACCCCATATACTGCAACTAGAAACTCTGCCCTTGTCACATCACCTACCTCCACAGGACTGGAGTAAAGGGCAATGATAGAACCATTTTCATTTCTAATGGCCCCCCCAATACCTGAAGGGCTTGGGTTACCCACACAACTTCCATCAAAATTTAGCTTCTTCCAACCCTCTGTTGGAGGGGACCAAATCTCAACGAACTGTCGTCTCATAGATGATGAAGCAGCAATAAGTCCCCAAACCCTGAAAAAATCTTCAACCTTGAAAGCTGAAACAGCTTCAAACTTTTTACCCAATGAGCCACCCTCAATGTTATTGTTTCAATTAAAGCTTCCTTGCATTTTTCTTTACTTTCAAATATTCTATTGTTTCTTTCCTCCCAGATGGTCCAAAGTATTGCTGCTCTAGTGCATCTCCAAAGAATCCTTCCCCTCCTTGTCATACCACTGATACCATTAGGGTTGAATAAGCCTTCCACCCTGTCAAGAGAGGACCACCTGCACCCAAAAAGGGAAGTAAACCAATTCCAAATATAATTGACAAAAGGGCAAGATATAAGAAGGTGGAAAACAGTCTCACCATTCAATTTACACAGGACACACCAGTTAGGAGACAAGCACCAGTTTGGTCTTTTCCTTTGAAGTACATCAAAAGTGTTAATACAATCATGAGAAACTTCCCAACAAAAAGCACGGACTTTAGGGGGGATAGGAGGGCACCAAATTTCTTTGACTGGAAAATGAGAAGATTGTGTGACAACCATCGAATGTAGAAAGGATTTACAAGAAAAGGACCCTTAGGCATTAGGACCCCAAATTCTAGAATCCGACCCACCTTCCCCCAAACAAACTGAACTCAACAATCCTAACAGCTTGGACACTACAAGAAGTTCAGACTCTCTAAGGTTCTTGTTAAACCCAAAGTTCCAATTCAACCCTGGAAGGTGAGATGGTTGGCTTAGGAACTCAGAAATAGGCTTACTTTTAAACCTGGGCAAGTCATAAAGAGAAGGAAATTTCTCACCCAAAGGAATATCCCCGATCCACACATCTTCCCAAAATTTGATTTTTCTACCAGTAGACAAGTCATACCTGATAAAATTTAGGAATGTAGGGAGAACATCATGGATGGCCTTCCAGGGAGCAGCCAAGTTAGCCCTACGGAGACATCTAGCATCCCATCCGTTGCTCGACATGCCATGAATGCTTGCAAACACTTTGTGCCATAATTTCTCACTTTCTTTTGGAAACCTCCAAAGCCATTTGCTAAGCAAAACCTGATTCTTGAGTCTAACGTTCCCTATTCCCAAACCCCCTTCCTCTTTCAATTTCCTCACCTTTTCCCAACTAACCAAATGATCCTTCTTTTCCCCATGCTCCCAGAGAAAATCCCTCATGATTTTTTCAATTTTCCTCACTATCCCTTGTGGCATCCTAAACACTGACATGTAGTACACTGGGAGATTTGCTAAAGTGGATTTAATTAGGGTTATTCTCCCCCCCCCACCCCACCCCCACAATGAGATATAGTTCCTTTTCCATGCCGTGCCAACCATTTCTCAATCCTTTCCACTACCAGAGACCAAAAGCTAGCAGACCTATGGTTATCTCCAAGGGGTAAACCCAAATATTTCATTGGCCACTCACCTTTCTTGCAGCCTAGGGAATTTTCCAGATCTCTCACTTGATCCTCTTAAATATTAATTCCAACCAATACTCTTTGACCAATTAATCCTCAAATTAGACATCCTCTCAAAGAGTTTCACAACCAACCTCAAATTTTCCACTCCCTCTCTGTTTTCTCCATCACAAAAAATAAGAATATCGTCTACAAACTGTAAATGAGTGACTAGCACATTATCCCTCCCAACTGGCCATCCCCTAAATAATTGCACACCATTTGTTTTTGAAATCAATTTGCTTAGGGCTTCAGCAATTAGAGTAAATAGAAAAGGAGAAAGAGGGCCACCCTGCCTAAGTCCATGAAATCCTTCAAAGAGATCATACACTGTCCCATTAACCATTACTGAAAAGTGACTAGTTTGTAGAAATCCCATGATCCATTTACACCACAAATTTCCAAATCCACATTTCCTCATAATTTCAATCAAGAAGTTCCAATCCACTAAGTCATAGGCTTTTTCCAGATCCAGTTTGATAGCCACTCCCTTTCTCTTTAATCTCTTTTGAGCCTCCACGCATTCATTGGCAATTAAGATCTGATCAATAATCTGTCTATCTTGCACAAAGGCCCCTTGAGCTTGAGAAACGATTGGGGAGATCACCATTTTAATCCTCAGAGACAACACCTTTGCTATCACCTTATAAATACTAGTGACTAGACTTATTGCCATGAAATCAACTGGTTGGTTGGCATTGTTCTTCTTTGGGATTAAAGCTAAAAAAGTAGAATTCAGTCCCGGACTTATCACCCCTCTCCTATGAAATTCATTAAACACTCTGATCAAATCTCCTTTAACTATGTCCCAATAATCTTAATAAAAAGCCATTGTGAAACCATCTGGTCCTGGTGATTTTGATCTATTCATAGAAAAGATTGCTTCCTTAATCTCCCCCTCTTCAAACCTTTTTTCCAGAAGTTGGACTTCAGACTCCTCCAAAGTCTCCCAAACAATGCCTTCAATCCTCCACCTTTCAATTAAGGGTCTTCTATAAATAGACCTAAAATGCTCTGAGAATGTTTTAGCAATCTCCTCTTAGTCCGTGATCTCGTTTTCCCCCACTTCTTTCTCCTTCCATTTGCAATGGCATGGAAGAATTTTGTATTTCCATCTCCTTCTTCGATCCATCTCTCTCTTGACTTTTGCTTCCAGCATATCTCCTCTCTCAATAAGGTCTCCCCTAACTCTTTCTTCAAGTTCCATCTCCGCTCCTTTTCACCTTCAACTAGAACTCCTTCTACCTCTTTTTTATCTAATGCCTTTATCTTATAAATCATATCAGCTTTCTTCTCCTCCAATCTCCCAAACTTCTCCCTATTCCACTCCTTGATTTCTTGTTTCAACAATTGAAGCTTCTTTAGGAACTTTTGTCCTTCCCACATTGTAGGTACAGCCATACTATTCCACCAAACTTTGACTTTCTCTTTAAATCCCGGATGAGTAAGCCACATATTTTCAAATCTGAATGGAGTTGAGCCACCATCACCGATTCTCTCAAACAAACAGATAGGCCAATGATCTGAGGTGATTCTTGGTAAATTTCTCCCAATTATCCCTGGCCAATGCTCTTCCCAGTCAGGTGAAACTAAAAACCTATCAAACTTGGAAAGAATAGGGGATGTTTGAAGGTTTGACCAAGTATAACAGGATTGCCCCAAAGGAATATCTCTTAACTCAAAAGCTTCAATAAAAGAATTGAACTTTCTCATACTCATTGTAGTTCTTTGTCTACCTATGGTTGTCTCACTCACAAACCTTACTACATTGAAGTCTCCCCCTAAACACCAAGGTCCATCCTTGAGACCCCTAATGTCCTCAAGCTCCTCCCATAATTTCTTCCTTTCTTTATATGAGTTTGTCCCATAGAAACTGAGAAACGGCCTACCAATTCTTCCAAACATTGGACTACTTCTTCTCTCCACATTGTTATAATGCCCCCCGATGCACCCCAAGAGGGAGCGAAGCTCCAATTAATATTCCTCTCTCCCCACAAGCTTCTTATCCACTTCTTGTCTACTTCCTGCATTTTGGATTTTTGAATTAGAACGAAATCCGGTCTCTCCTTCAGCAACACCTCTTTAACTACTCCTCTTTTTGTGGCTTT